CTTCTGTCTGTCTGTCACATCCTTGTTAGTCACAGTGGCATTGGGAACTGCTGTGTATCACGCAGCATACCCTTTCACTCAGCTTTACTTGTGGGTGTTCATTGCAGTGACTCAGAGATGGTCTGGTTCAAGGCCTCTGGCTTCTGCTACATCATCAACACAGGTCCCTCATCCATAACTTCTCTCAGATATCTTGTTGTTATCCTGAGTCATGGAGATCCTGTGGCTTTGGTTCTTCAGTAGCTCATAGATGGGGAAGATACTGGGATGGGACAACTCAAAGCCCTGTATCTGGGACTGCATGATAGCTGAGTTCATCAGCCCCAGCCGCTGCTGGGATTCCATGCCAATAGAGCCGGCTCGTCCACACCCACACCCCCACTGGCCTAGTGTGAAGGCTGGTGAGGGGGAGGGCCAGTTTGGCACAGTCCTCAAGTATCAACATGGCTTTTGGTAGTGATACAAGCCACAGATACCAACATAGCCTCTGGCTATATCTGGACCACTGATCCACTCGTGGCCCTGAGTGGCTGCATGGACCTCAGGCCTCATCATGGTCTCAACATGCCCTCAGGTGGCCATGCATGCCACTTATATCAACATGGCCCTCGGGCAGCAGAGCCTGAGGACATCACTAAAGAATTAGTGGCACAGACTAATGGATCTCAGGCGTCATCTTGGCCTGGGACAGCAGCATGGACTGTAGACACCAACATGGCTTCTGGTAGCATCTCAGCCTACAGTGGTCTTTCCAGGATGTTCAGTCCAAGACATAACCCTTTCCTCTCTTAGGCCTTTGTCATTGCAGAGCCAAGGTGATCCTGTGCTGGCATATTAGAGGGTGGAGTGGGGAGCAGAGTCTGCGTCTGCATAATCTCTGGGCTGCTGCACCTCCAAGCCCCCACCCTACTAGGCAATAACAGCCTGTTGACCTCAGCCCTCTCTCTCACCTGTCACTGCTACTGTGGACACTGGCCTATGCTGCCCATTATGATAACTACAAGCATCTTGCTTTTGGTGATTCAGGGCTGCCACCTGGCCCCTGCTACTTCAGGGCCCAATTAAACCCATTACATGTAATTCATCCATGTGAACAGCAGCATCTCCAGCCCTAAGGTCTGGCAAAGGGAAAGGGCTATGACAAAGCTCTTTAAATGTGCTGATGCCCCTGTTACTACTTTGCATCTTACAGAATGAGTGAAGCTGTATACCTGGGACCTTCACACTGTGGAGGATTTGGTTTTACAGTGTATCCACTCTTAAGGCTGCCATTTCCCCAAGCCTTAAAGTCCTTCAACACTAAACCTAAGGATATCAGGCATCTAGAGCTGCTTTTCAGTAGGCCATCTTTTGATCAATCAATGCTTTAATCAACCAAACAAACTTTTTATTTATTTAATGTATATGAGTACACTGTAGCTATCTTCAGACACACCAGAAGAGGGCATCAGATTCTAATACAGATAGTTGTGAGCCACTGTGTGGTTGCTGGGAACTGAACTCAGGACCTCTGGAAGAGCAGTCAGTGCTCTTAACTGCTGAGCCATCTCTCCTGCCCCCAAACAAATTTTTAATACCATTTTTAACTGTGCAAACTTCCATATTAAACCTAGAATCTGGGCTGGAGAGATGGCTCAGTGGTTAAGAGCATGGACTTCTCTTCCAAAGGTCCCGAGTTCAATTCCTAGCAACCACATGGTGATTCACAACCATCAGTAATGAGATCTGATGCCCTCTTGTGGTGTTCCTGAAGATAGCAACAGTGTATTCATATACATATAAATAAATAAATCTTAAAAATGACTTAAAAACATTTTTAAAAATCTTTTTTTTTTTTAAAGATTTATTTATTTATTATATATGAATACACTGTAGCTGTCTTCAGACACACCAGAAGAGGGCATCAGATCCCATTACAGATGGTTGTGAGCCACCATGTGGTTGCTGGGATTTGAACTCAGGACCTCTGGAAGTGCAGTCAGTGCTCTTAACCACTGAGCCATCTCTCCAGCCCTTAAAAATCTTTTTTAAAAAGAAAAAACCCGGCCGGGCGGTGGTGGCACACGCCTTTAATCCCAGCACTTGGGAGGCAGAGGCAGGCGGATTTCTGAGTTCGAGGCCAGCCTGGTCTACCGAGTGAGTTCCAGGACAGCCAGGGCTATACAGAGAAACCCTGTCTCGAAAAACCAAATAAATAAATAAATAAATAAATAACCCTAGAATCCTCACTTTTAGGGGGCTCACATCAGTAAACTCAGCTTGATCCACTTATATGTTTCTTACACATTATTCCATCCCCTTAAAACTCATTCCTACATATTCCCCAGACTTATGCTTGAATGAATTAGCAAACTCATTTAGCTCTTCAGTGGTGGGTAAACCTCATCAATTTCTATTTCCAATCGAGGTGCCTGCTTAGTCTTATAGGAGCCTATAACTAGCCTTAGGTCTAGTTATAGGTCTACAGGCAACTTATTGGTGTGTCCTCCGTGTCGTCAGTATCGTCTTGCCTGGCGTTTTCTTTAGGGATAGTCACTGCCAGTTAGGCAGGCAGTGAAGGATTAATTCCCTCAGGCAAATACTTCAGGGGGTAGGAATGAAGGTTGGAGTGTATCTTCTGTTAAGGGTAGACAGACTTCTTCCTCATGTAACACAAAGCCTTGAGAACCTGGGAGTTCAAAGTTCCTAGCCTCAATGGGGTCTTCCACACATCTGTGTCCTGTTACCACATCCCACTCCTAACCAATCAGTACCCTTACTTTAATTGCTGACACTATCCAAGGCTGTAACTTGAACTTTTGTTTCAATTCAGCCAATCTTATTGAGGGCTTCAATTTGATTTTCTGAAACGTGAGCTCTTGGCAGCTGCTGAAGATAAGATTCTCTTCCAGGACACACTTAGAAAACTTATAAACTGTGTATGTGCACCTGGAGTGGGTCAATCTTATCAGGGTTCATTGTTGTCCTTCCTCACGGTATCCTGAGATGCTAGAAGTTGGTCACTTTTGGAGTTTCCATTATCAATTTATTCAGAGATGCAAGAAGCACTCAGCTGTTGTGGATAGCCCAGGGGTTGCTTGTATTTTGATGCTAATTCTGCTCTCCTGGGAGGGACTGCAAATGTCGAATGAGTCTTGTACTCAGGTGACTTCTTGTGAACCATCCCCTAATGAATAAAGGAGCCAATCACTGGGCTAGTAGGAGAGACTTCTGGGCTGGATAGGGGAAGAGAGGAAAAGGAAAGAGGGGGCCCTTTTGGATGGGACAGCAATGGGGCAAGATGTAGCTGCTAGTGTCTCCTCCACCACTGGAGGATTTAGATTTAACATGGCTTACAAGATTAGCATTCTAGTTGCTGCACCCAGAGATTGAGTTACCATTGTTTCTAAACTAAGTTTGTGTGGCATTTTTCTTCATAAGATGACTCAACTGGATTCAAGAGAAAGGTACGGCAGCAAAGGGTGAGTTTACCTGATGTGCCCCGCAAAGGACATAGGGGACTTGAAGCATGGGGCTGGTATGGTAGTGACCGGCCAGAGGGAACTTAGCTGGGTGGAAAGATTTTGGAGCTCTGGTGCCATGTGGCCCGCCAGCCCTTGGGAACTGCAATTTTACTATTTCCTGAAACACTCAGCCAGTATCATTTTCCCACAAATTGTCAAAGTGACTCAATTCCTTGCTTCTAACAATAGATGATTCAGGACAATCAAAATATTTGTCTTGATAAGATTATTCTAAATGCTTCTAGGAGAGGTAACTTACAGGTCGGCCTCCTGGAAGCTTAACAGGAAGCTTGTGTGGAGCACTAAAATGTCAGGAACAGAGACCCTGGTAGGTGGGAGAACTCCAAAAAGCTGTCTCCTGACCTCCACAGGAACATCTCCATTACTAGTGGAACCAGAGGTAGCAAAGTAACTCAACAATGGCTCAACTCTGTCTCCTTGACAAGATTTGGAATGACATAGAAGACACCCTTCCTGTACGTTATCTATGAAGCAATTTCTTGAGGTTACTGTCATGAATGTAGGTAGCATTATCTATCATTGTCCAAAAAGGATAAAGCTAACTGTTGCTAAAAATTCCTCCCCTGGGAGACATGTAAGCACATCTATCCCTCCTGAAGTCCCAACCACAAACTGGTACAATTTTACCAGCTCCCTCGGGGGAACCAATGGTTTATTTGGTTTAGTTACACAGTATATGTAAGTTTACTGGATGTCCCTCCCCTCAAAATGCCACATCAGGAATCTTTACCCAGCAAAAATGATTTTCCTGTAGCTCCACAGGTTTCTAACGACTTCCCTAACCTGTAAACTCTACCTACATCTCTTCAAAGCCCTCTGCAGCTCAGGCAGTTACAAAGTGGTAGGGAACTGCTGGATACTCCAGTGATTCTCCACACCCTTCTTAACACTACAAGTCTTGAAGTATAGTCCTGTGTGCCATCAGCTAAGCACTAGCATTTATCTCTGCTTTCTTGTCTGGAGGCAATGATAGGTCACCTCACACTCCTACCATGTCTCTTTCCATGATGGATTGTCACCACGACAGAGTAAGAAAGACATGAAAGGGAATGAGGCTCAAATTGATGGAGTGGGCATTTTTTGTATGCATATTTTGCCTGCTTTATGCACCTCATGCATTCAGTACCTGTGGATCCCAGAAGAGGGTAACAGCTCATATAGTACCTGGAGCTGGAGTTATAAGCACTTGTAAACCAAATAGGTGCTGGGGAGAGAAGCTGGGCCCTCTCCAAGTGCAGTTGACATCATCTTTCCAGGCTCAACTTTTAGAACCCGTAAGACCAATTTTTGTTGCTGTAGAATCTATCTAAATACATTAAGGACAAAGAGCTAAATCAGAATGTCTATCAACAGAGATCAGCATGTATCTGTATAACTGCTACTCTGGTGAGGTTGATGGTGGGGGAGGATATAGAAGAGACTTACAAGTCCATAGGAACTCTATGCCCAGTTTTGATATGAAATGAGTCTGACAAGTCAGTATATCCAAGTATTTTATTAAGTCAGGTAAGGAATCTTCACATTGTTATATACCGGCTTTATACATTTAAAAGGGCACGTCAGCAAAGACAGCTGAATGTAGGTTGGCAAGTCCAAACCAAAAGACACTCAAAAGGTAACACAGTAAAGGTCATGCAAATTCTAGCAGTGAATCATGACAAAAGCATGCTCTATTCTTATCTTCAAAATCTGCATTTTACCCAGTAATAACGTGATGAGTAACAGAGGTTATTACTCAGATACACATTTCACCCAAGACTAAACCTTACCAACTTACTGCTTTGATTGGAAACAACCCTTACAGCAAAGGTTATTTTAGAGACTTTTATGGCAAAGACTTGAAATCCTATTATGCACGGTGATACTCATATCGGTACAGGAAACACTGTGAAGACTGAAGGGACTGGGTAGCAAAACAATTCAGTGAGGCTGAAAATAATCTGGTGGCTCTAACTTAGGTGAGTGGTGCCAAGAACCCTGAGAGCCCAGTGACATCTCAGGTGGCAGCTTTGAACTGTCCCATGCAAAACTGACTAGATGCACAATTAAGTAATCTGTTAACGTGACATTGCTCACCGTCTACATAATGTATAGCCACCATAGTGAAGGGCAGTACATAAAGACCCTTCACAAGCTTCGTTTTCCCAACACCTGTTCTCTACCCTCCCGAAAACCAAAGATGAATTCAAACTTCTAAGAACTACATTTAGGAAATAACATGCAAATCAAGGGAGACAGTTAAATTGTATTCTATAAACCAGAGATAACAAAATACCTACATTTAAAAAAAGGATCTTGGAAGTAATGATTTTACAGCAGTTGAATTTACCCACCAAATGCCCAATGACCACACATGTTTTTGCAACTAAAACTAAGGAGCTATAGGAAGTTGGGAATTCATGTTAGATACTAACGATCTTCAAGCTTTGAAGATGTCATCGCATGAAGAAAATTATGGGAAACACTGTTCCCGATAATTACATACACCCTTAGTGTAACATGGAGATCACTGTCTCCGATATAGACACTGTGGTAGGCAAAAACTACCTTGTTCTTTATACATTATGGAAGACACTGCTCCCGATAATGTGAGTTAAGTTTGTGAGAAAGGTACTGGAAATTTTGCAAAATTGAATGAGTTACATCTTGAATAAATTGAGCTGTAAAATTTTGTAGATGTAAGTACTACCATACCTTTAAATGACATTTAACTTGGCCACAATTCACTGCACTTAGGAGAACTATCTGTTTTTTTTTCCAATTCACTTAGGAATCTCTTGTTTAACTCAATCCTCTTCTAGCTCACCTTATATTGTCTGGCTTGTGGCTTTTCTCCTTCCTAAAGTCCGCAAGTGCTGACCATAAGTGCAAAACTTCCAGTATCTGTGGGTCTCATTAGCAGATGCTGCTTTTATTAAAAGAAAACGACAGTATAACTGTCATAATTATGGAAGGCACTGCTTCCGATAATTATCTTCTATTAAAAAAAAAAACACTATTTATAGTGAACTCTGTCACTGATAAATAAACAATAAATATCTCAGTGCCAAAATGATAGAAAGCTTTCCTGACGACTAACACTTTGGCCAAAACTTGGCGGTGTGTTCTTTTCAAGTCTGACAAACTGAGTCTAAAATTTGTTCTTTTCAGAAAATGTTGGAACAAAAAAACAAAACAGAACTAAAGACTACAGGGTGGATGCCAGAGGAGAGAAAACTTGAAGTCTTTGGCTTCTGGTCTCATCATAAATAACACCAAGGTTAGCCAGTAAGGCCTTATTCCTGTAAACAGACAACCCCTTTTATCCAGCAGAAAACAAGTTCCATCTCTTCTGAAATTAACTGTCTAGTTTAGGGAAATGGAAACCAGCTAAATCCTTAAGGGCATACAGCAGAGTGGAGAATCCTAGTGAGGATCAGATGAAGATGGGAAATCACATCCAACTACCACCTTGACCTCACTCCCAACTCATAAGACACTAGTTAATGCCCTCAGGACTTAAAGCAATGTTCTGGTTCTGACATTTTCATGACCATGAAGCAAAGAGAAAGTTATTACAAAGGACTCAAAATTCTAAAGGTAATCTGAGAAGGTATCACAAACAAGGAAAGTGTTATCTACTGTACTTGAAGTGTAGGTCCAACCCTGCACTAAAAGCTGCTGCCTAAAGACATTAGATGATTGGGTAGAATTTTAACATTAGATTTTGGAGCTCTAATGAAAATTTAGCACAACCCGCACAAGTCTAGAAACAGACTACCCTGCTCTTATTGAATTTTGTATGTTACATTTAAAACTCATTGTCAATATTCCAAATGTCACCAGAGAGGGCATTGGCAACTCCCTGAATAGTCCAAGTAGCCAGGGCCAACTGGTTTCTGAAGAGTGGCTCATTAAAAGCAGTAATATTTTTTTGACGAAGCTTCAAGTTCTCCACTAAAGCTGAGAGAGTGTGAGAGCCAGAGCCCCAGAAGATGTGTCGGAAAGGAGACTCTCTTGGAGATACATAGGGTGACAGGAAGTGATACTCCACCTATAATAAAGATGAAACAGCTTAAACAGTGCTATGACTTGTCACTGTCTTCTTTCAAGTGTTACAACCTCTCTGAAGCCGGGCAGTGGTGGCGCACGCCTTTAATCCCAGTACTTGGGAGGCAGAGGCAGGTGGGTTTCTGAGTTCGAGGCCAGCCTGGTCTACAGAGTGAGTTCCAGGACAGCCAGGGCTACACAGAGAAACCCTGTTTCGAAAAACAAAACAACCTCTCTGAATCAGACCACTGAGAACTCAGTTACATTACCAAGTCTGAGTCAAAGTGTTAATTAATCCCTTTGTTAAAAAAGCAAATTAAATGGTATTGGGATTTCTTAATTAAACACTAATTATAGTCTTGTCTTTAATCTCAGCACTGGAGGCAGATCTGTGAGCTCAGTGGGATCTACAGAGTACTGGGACATGGGAAGGGCGGGGGTGAGGTAATGTATCTTGTGAGTATACATGCCACTCAGTGCAGCCAACTCTCTCCATCACTTTTACAAGGCTTCCGGGGATCTAATTTAGGCACCTGAGATTATATAGCTACTTTACCTGCTCAGTTGTCTTTTCATTTTGATATGGTTGGTTGTCTCACTTTAAAGCCCAGGCTGATCTGGAATTTGCTATGTATGCCTACAACTCAGATCTACTTGCCTCTGTCTCCAGTGCTTAGTTCAATTCCTAGCAACCACATGGTGTAATGGGATTTGGTGCCCTCTTCTGGTGTGTCTGAAGACTGTGTCAGTGTACTCACATATATACAATAAATTTAAGAAAAAAAACTTTTCTTCTGAAATAGTGTCTTAGTCAGGGTTTCTATTGCTGTCATGAAACATCTTGACCATAAAGCGAGTTGGGGAAGAAACGGTTTATTCGGCTTATACTTCTTTTTTTTTTTTTGGTTTTTCGAGACAGGGTTTCTCTGTGTAGCCCTGGCTGTCCTGGAACTCACTCTGCAGACCACGCTGGCCTCGAACTCAGAAACCTGCCTGCCTCTGCCTCCCAAGTGCTGTGATTAAAGGCATGCACCACCACTGCCCAGCGAAACATTTCTTCTAAAAAAATAAATAACACTTAAGAACACTTGCTGCTCTTGCAGAGGACCTGCGTTTAAATGCCAGAACCCACATGACAGCTTAAAAATGCTTTAACTGCAGCTCCTTAGTTACCGGAGACCTCTTCAGGCTTTCTCCATACCAGGTAAAAACAGGTGCACATATGTACATTTAGGCAAAACATACATACACATAAGTATCTTAGGCACGTACTACTGAACTATCTATGCCGTTCCTAAATGATCTTAAAAGTATAAAATAATTAGCATAAAATTAACGTCTTTTCTATTTCCAGGTAGATAGTACACTTTGAGATCAGGATACAAACCAAAATCTGTATTCAATTCTAAAGGAAAGGATTGTACGTGCCTGGTGCTACCCACCTTTCTTTTATATAAGTAGAAGCATTGCTAATTAAAAGTTTACATACGTTAGTTCTTCCTTTCCTAAGAGCACACTTACTTTCATAATACGATCATTGATTTCCCTCATGACAAATCTGTTTGTTTTCTCAGCATTATGAAAATCAGTTGTTAGTCTAGAAGTAGCACGGAAGTAGTCTCCACGAGCAGAATACAGCCACTGTAGACTCAGACCCATATCCTGACAAAGATGAACACAAAATTCTTCATTAGATGCTATGCTTTTCTTTTAAAGTAGGGTGTGTGGGGGTGTTGTCACATATTTGCTGCCCAAGGTTAGCTGGCAGTCACTAAGGTGGCCCAGACTGGCCAAAAAACTCATTTTCTAATCTCAAAAAGCCAGATGAGAACTTATTAATGTGAATTTTAAAGAAACACTAGACAAATGATTGATAGTAGGTAGCATGGTAGCTGGGCAAATGAAACTGCTCATTAAGTAAAGGTGTTGGAGAGATGGACAGCTACACGAGTATTCATACATACAAAAAATAAGTAACTCTTTAAAGAAAAAAGTAAAAAAGGTTGCCCACTCCACCTGAAGAATGCATTCCAGTCACCAGAATCAGACAACTCCTTAAAGCTGTCCTGACCCTCACATTTGCCATGCACAGGATATCCACCCCTAAAAATGTAACAAAACAAAAACCCCATAAAACCCAGTAGGTACCAGCTGTGCATGCTCTTTCTATCCAAGCCAGGTCCAACCTACTTATGGACTATCTGGATCACAAATGACAGAAAATACAGCTCTGTACTGGAAACATTGGAGTCTGCCCAACAACTTTTTCAAATAAACTGTGGGTTTTAAGTCAAATTTCCTCCTAGAAAAGACTTCATATGCTGATACTTCAGCAACAGGAACTTCTTGGAGACATGAATTGGTCCTTATGAAAAACCAAGGGATTGCTCAGCTGAGTGACGCAGTGCACTCTTAGGCAAATATTATTCATAATAGTCAACAGAGGGAAATGAGCTACACAGCAATGGACAAGTGTAGGGAAAAATGCAATTAATATGTATACACAATTGGATATCATTCAGTGACATTCACTTGTAACAGTTAAATGTCAGGGACCGGGGCTGGAGAGATGGCTTAGTGGTTAAGAGCACTGACTGCCCTTACAGAGGTCCTGAGTTCAAATCCCAGCAACCACATGGTGGCTCACAACCATCCGTAATGAGATTGGATGCCCTCTTCTGGTGTGTCTGAAGACAACTACAGGTGTACTCATCAATAAAATAAAAAAAAAAAAAAAAAATGTCAGGGACCGTATGATAAACTACCACCAGACATGTCCAACTTTTTTTTGAAAGGATGCCATGTTCTTAAACACTGTATGTAGCTAAACCTGGCTTTAAACTCCTGCCTGCAAATTCAAGTACTAGGATACACACACAATCACCATACTCAACATGTCCAATTTTTGACACTGGGAAATGATATTGCATCTATAAACTTCATGCTTAGGATGGATGACACAGTCAAATTTAAGAAAGTGCAGGCATAACTAGTTAAGGTTTATCATTGTGTCAGGCTGCATTCATAGGAACCCTTGGGCCACAGGTTGGATCCACCTGCTACAGGATCTCATTCATGTGCAGTGTAAGAGGCTGATCTAGACAAGTGCTGTGATACAGTGTACACCACGAGGGGAAAGCAGGAAAGCTGCTGGATCTGCTGGCAGACAACTGTAGTTCTAAGATTTGAAGGCTGAGACAATTCACTGTTCCAAGTTCAAGGCCAGTCTGATTAACAGTATGACTCTGCCTCAGAACACACAACACACAACACACACACACACACACACACACTTCATACAACTTAAGAAATGACAGTTAACAGAAAGTAACAAGGAAGGTGAAAAAGTAGAAAAGATCTAAATATAAGCTAAATAAAAGAAAACTTAAGTGCTTACCCTGATATCTGCCCTGAACTGGTTCAGATCCTTCACAAATGACAGTAGTTTGCTGTTATACATCTCATAGTCCAGGTTCAATTCAATGTCATGCGTAAGTTTAATAATGAACTGACCAGCCACTTCTGCTGCTGTGCGAACCATTTGGTTGAGCTGAGGAACTTTCTGGATCAATTTCTCATAGGTATCCAATTTAGTGCCCAAATAAGGATAGTCCTCATCCTAGGAGACAAAGAAAGGCTGGCATACTAGTGCAGGTGTAGAGTAGGAGCCTCACCTTCTTTCTAGGTTTATCATCAAGGTAACAAGCATGGCGGAGAGCACTCACTGCCAGTTATCCTCAAACCTCCACATACACCAGGCCAAACATGTATCTATACACTATAGTTTAAAAAGAAAATCTATAGTCCTTCAACCCACAGGCCCTGACACATAGTTGTTCATATGTATTAAACCAGTAGCTTATTCACCCTATGGTTTTAGCAGCAGATAAAGTAATTCGAGCTGTGTAAGTCTCCATCCAAATCCAGATATTTCTTAAAATGTCCCTAACTTTCCAAATTGACTCAGTAATTTCCATCCTGGCTTCTTTCTCATTTAACTCTGCTCTTCTTGGCCTTTGGGACTTCTCATTAGTTCTTATAACAATGTAATGAGTTCAATGTTCTGTCTCATAATCACTTTATACTTGTATTGTTGCTGCTTAAAAGAACATTTCTGGCCAGGCGGTGGTGGTCCATGCCTTTAATCCCAGCACTTGGGAGGCAGAAACAGGTGGATTTCTGAGTTTGAGGCCAGCCTGGTCTACAGAGTGAGTTCCAGGACAGCCAGGGCTACACAGAGAAACCCTGTCTCGAAAAACCCAAAAAAAAAAAAAAAAAAAAAA